AGGCAGGCAAAGACAGATAAGAAAGTGGCCTGAATATTTTGATAAAATGCTGCTGTTCTTCTTTGGTAATTTGGTTTCACAGATGCACAGAATGACCCAACTTCTGACATGCTTTTGATGGTTTGTGAGTTGAGTGATAGTACAGAGAAGAGGATGTAATTTCTGTTTGCAAAACAAATATTAGAAATGGGGATACCATGGCAACAAAAGCAGAAATGTTCTTCTTATTAATTATTGGATTCAGCTACGTCTGTTACTGTAAAATTATTGGTAGACCTCTCATAACCCTAATACTTGTGTGGTTATGTAGACAAAGTACTTTTAAAGGACTCTGAAATCCTGCATTTTACAGGCATTTCCAGTTGCTTGTGAAAGAGTCGTATCCTCATCGTTATAAGTAAATGCTTCTGTATTCAGCTGTTATATGATTGGCTTAATTTGTTTTGTAGATATTTACCATTCACAGTTCTATTTCAAAGCTACCTTGAAGGGAACTGCTTAGGATAGCATATGGTAACTGAAAGTATAGGAAAACATACAGTGAGAAACAAGGACTGTACCAATGGACTTAATCCTACAGTATGAAGAAAACCCCCACACACCTACCGGTACAGGTAGCTGTAATATCTACTTCCAGCCTGTGGGAGAAGATTGCTTTCCTGAAATTATGTATAGCTAATGAATACACCAAAACACTGCCTGACCTGTCAGCATGTATGTATTTGATACAGTTGCAGAACTGAAACACATTTTTATGAATTATAAAAGAGTGGCTGCTTCCAAGAATAGATACTCTTAGTTTTTAATGTTAGGAGCATTTAATTTTAGACATTTTATTTTTATTTTAAGATCTAAAAGAAGATTACTTTCACTGAAAGAACTGAAGTGTTCCTCTTCTTCACTCTTTTTACAATACACAGAGGAAAGGTATACATGAGCTCATAATTACAGCATGACTGGGAGCCCCCGGTGGTCTAGGGGAAAAGACACTGCACTGTCACTGCAGAGACCCGGGTTCGATTCCCGGTCGGG